GAGACCTTCATGGAGTGAAAAACATTAGTAGAAAAGAAGACTGGAAAATAGGTGAAATGTCTACGCATAGATAATGGTTTGGATTTTTGTTCAAATGAATTCAATAGCTTTTGCAGGGCTGAAAACATCTTGAGATACTTGAGAGTGCCTGGAACTCTTCAACAGAATGGTATAACAGAACAGATGAATAGAACTTTGGTGGAAAATGTTTGTTGCATGCTTTCAAATTCTGGGTTGCCTAAGATTTTTTGGGCTGAAGCTGCCACTACAGCTTGTTTCCTGATTAATCACTCATCCTCAGTTGCCATTGAAAAAAGATATCAGAAGATGTATGGTCTGGTAAATCTTCTTGCTATTCTGATTTGAAAATTTTGGGTGTTCTGCTTATGCACATGTGGATAATGAGAAGTTAGAGCCTAGGTCAAGAAAGTGCATATTTCTTGGGTATAAATTGTGATGTCTTGAGACAAGAAATGTGGTTGTTATGAGGGATGTAGTATTTGATGAACTTTCTATGGTTTGTGTTTTACCTCTTGGGGATTCTGATAAAACTAAGGAGCATAATTATTCAACTCATGTGGAGTTGAAAATTAATTCAGAGGAACAGTCAGAGGTTACAGAACAGTCTGCTACAGATCAGTCCAACTCGGGGTTGATAGACAGATATCCTGCCTACTTTGCCTACACCACCAACACCACAGTATTCTATAGGTAAGGATAGACCTTGCAGGCAGATTAGACATCCACAGAAGTATGTGGAAGCAGATTTGGTAGCTTATGCATTGAGTGTGGCTGAAGATATTGATTCCACTAAGGAGCCTGGAACATATTTAGAGGTAGTCAGTTACAGTGATTCTAGTAGATGGATGATTACTATGCAGGAGGAAATTGAGTTATTGAGAAAAAATAACATTTGGGACTTGGTGAAATTACCTAGAGGTAAAAAGGTTGTTCTCTACAAATGAGTGTTTAAAAGAAAAGAAGGCATATCAGGGATTGAAGATGCTAGGTATAAGGCTAGATTGGTGGCAAATGGCTACAGTCAGATTCCAGGTGTTGACTTTACATATGTTTTTTCACCAGTTGTGAAGCATAGTTCTATTTAGGCTTTAGTTGGAGTGGTGGCTAAGAATGACTTGGAACTTGAACAGATGTTAAGACATCATTCTTACATTGAGAACTTGAGGAAAACATCTACATGCAACAACCAAAATGGTTCATAGTCTCTGGAAAAGAAGACTATGTGTGCTTGTTGAAAAGTTCTTATATGGACTAAAGCAGTCACCGAGGTAGTGGTATAAGAGGTTTGATTCATTTATGACTACTCATGGTTTCTTCAAATGTAATTATGATAGTTGTTTGTACTTCAGAAAAGAAGAGAGTGGATCGAATACATATTTGTTATTATATGTTAATAAGTGGTCATAGTAGCCGAAGATAAAGTAGAAGTCAGAAAAGTGAAGTTTCAACTCATTAAGGAGTTTGATATGAAGGATTTGCGTGCAGTAAAGAAGATTCTTGGTATGAAAATCTTGAGAAATAGAAAGGCTGGCAGATTGTATTTGAGTTAGAAGGTGTACATTGAGAAGGTGCTTGAAAGATTCAATATAGTGAATGTGAAGGCTATCGTACTCAGTTGGCTACCCACTTTAAATTATCAACTAACTTGTGTCCTCAGTCAGATGAAGACATTGATTACATGTATCGGGTTCCTTATCCCAGTGCAGTTGGTTCACTGATGTATGGTATGGTTTGTACAAGACCTGATTTGGTACATGCAGTCAGAGTAGTTAGCAGATGCATGGCAAATCTTGATAAGAAACATTGGAAAGCAGTACATTGGAAAGCAGTGCATTGGTTTCTTCTAATGCTTGTTTGCATTTTGGTAGAAATTTAGATTGAGTCATTGTGTATGTAGATTCAGATTATGTAGAGGATCTTGATAAGAGAAGATCACTTACAGTGTATGTGTTTACTCTTGGAGGTTGTGCTATCAACTAGAAAGCTACTTTGCTAAATATAGTAACTTTGTCTAAAACTGAAACAGAATACATTGGTCATTACAGAGGCATGTAACGAGGCTATGTGGCTGAGAAGAATGATTGTTGAAATCAGTAAAGACTTGCAGGTGTCTACAGTACTCTGTGATAGTCAGAGTGCAATTTTCTTGACTAAAGATCAGATGTTTCACTAGAGGACTAAACACATTGAAGTAAGGTATCATTTTGCGTGTGACGTGATTGATCATGGTGATATTGTAGTGAGCAAGGTTGATACCAAGGATAATCCTACTGATATGATGACAAAACCACTTCCTATTGCTAAGTTTGAACATTGCTTGAATTAAGTGGGTGTTTGTCATTGATTTAGTCCATTGGGGCTTTATGGAAGATAATGAATGATGTTTAATTGGAGATGTGTCTTGAATTCCTTATGATAGCATTTGTTTCAAGGTGGAGATTTGTTGTGGTGTGATCCAAATTGCATATTATTTGGGTTTCGTAGAATAAAAGAAGTATAAGGAGTTTGGATTTTTAAGAGTCCAAATGAATGAAGATCAAATTTCATCAAGTATTGAGAGTTTGGCTTTGAAAATGACTTCTTTTATATATTCTACATTGTATCGTCACATATAATTATTCAACAACATCTTGAGAGTTAGAGGGCTTAAATTTCAATTGAGAGAACTGAGATCTTGATTTTGTAAACACAATTACTATTGATTTTAGTGGATTTTTCTCTTCTACCCGTGGATTTTCCCATATTGGGTTTTCACGTAAATTTTGGTATGTATTTTCTTCTTATTTATTTCATTATCTTCATTATCTTACGATCTAAAATTCATAACATTGAGTATGTCCAAAAGGAACATAGTTGAAGAGTTGGATAATGACTTGAAGAGTAAAGACTTAATTCCTGCTATGAAATTTGTATCAAGGTATAGTTTGTTATTTTGTGACTCAAATTTCATGTGATTTGAAAGTTTGATTCATAGAGTAAGCTTAGATAATTTTGATTTGGAAGTCCGGATAGGTAAGGGATCAAATTTCATCACGGATTAAGAGTTCGATTGGAAAAGACACTTTGAGATGAAGGGAAAAAAGTTGGAGAAAAAGTTGGCAATTTTTTTCTAGCTAGGCGCTTGGTTGGCCATCGAGCATGGAGGGAGAAAAAGGTAGCGAAGAGCTAGCACTAACTTGCCACTCAAACTGCAATACAACTGCTCGCATGGGATTGGGCGAGATTTGTGACTAGTTCAATGAGCTTCTTTGATAAAAAAAAACTTAGGTGGTCGAGGCTCCCATGAGCAAAGAAATACGCAGAACTAACACTTGGCAAGGAATTTGACAAAGCCTCGAATGGTCTCGGACATGAACACAAACCTTAGTGCACTAAACCCTTTATGTGCAAACAATGAAATTCTGGACAAGTGTTAGAGAAGGACATGACATTCATACGGGACTTAATTATGACTTTCAACATACTGATGAAAGAATATCAACTCACAGAAATGACTAAAACACCCTTAAAATTGCCTATAAGTAAGACAATTGTACAATATAAAATAAATCTTTAATTACATACTAAAGATTTAAAGACCATCTCCCCTAAAAAAAATTCTCGAATTGAAAGAACATCTAGGGTTGAACCTCTCAAAAATTTAAAGAACATCTCTAATCGAGAAACAATCTCCTACTGAAAGAATGTCAAAATCTCAATTTCTCTCCTTATACAAGAAGTCGACTTCTAAGCACACCAAAATCCTCAAAAAGAGGGAAGAATCTGTCGAAATTGGGAGGGAAAAGCGTATAGATTCCATTGACTAAAATTCTTATTTCAAAATCTTCATAATTTTGACCCATTGACACTTTATATTTCTACCATACACATTTGATATTCACCGATTGCCATAATCGAGAAGTCACATATTTGGTGTAAAATTTTTATTGCTATTTTTTTCTTTATTTTTCGATGATATTCACTTTATCTTCTGTACTCTTAAAGAAGCCAATGTAAACTGTACTAGCACACAAATAATATTTAAAAAACTAAGAAAATTCAAAACTGCGAAATATCATTAATCCAAAGATTATTACAAGTAAAAGTCTATGACAAGACGTGTGAAATAAATCTACGTAATAGGAAACAAATAATTGAGAAAAAAATTCGAAGTTTATCAGATTTGAAATTGTCTCATTCGGACTATTAGCTTAATAATTCCTCTTGACGATTAGTCGTCTTTGAAAATTATGCAAAATAGTTCTCTCGTAACTGTCCGCAAATATTGGCACAAATTAATGAGTGTATGCATGGGGGTCTAAGAAAATTTTGCACGAACGTCTACGAGGAGCCACATACATTACATGCGATTAAAACCTCATCTTTGAAAAGTACGCTGAATCTCAAACATCACTGGCTCCCAGTCAAAGAGGGAACTTCCATGTTTAGCCACTGAAGGGCCCCTTAACATAATTTTCGTCAAAATTAATTAATTTCTTCTAAAAATGATCTTCAAAAGGAATATTTAGGGGATATGCCAATCAATACAAATTAAGTATAATTTTAATTAATAAAAGGTCCTGCATTCTTTTGGAAATTGAACAAAATTATCCAACAATTTCTAAAAATTATCTTCAAAAGGAATATTCAGGGGATATGCCAATGAATACAAATTTAGTACAATTTTAATTAATAAAAGGTCCTACATTCTCTTAGTAATTGAACAAAAGTATCCAACAATTCTATCAATTAATATTCTTCCAGAAAGAGGTCATTTTCTTGACTAACAAAACGTGTCAAGACTTGATTTTCCGGTCAAGGTTTAGGAGGAAAAGTGAAAAAATGATCCATTTTACTGTAGCAACACTGGGGCTATTTACTTAGACGCCGAAAATTGTGATTCCCCCTGGAATGGATCTCATTATAGTGAAGATTTTGAAAACTTGATTGCCTTGACATAAACCTTTCAAACTTAACTCAAAAATATTTATGCAGATTTTTTAAATCCTCGAATCCATGGCGTCAGAAACCTGCTTCTGCACTCTCATTAGCTCCCCTCTAGTCATTGGCTTCTTTATTTTCCCTCCCGAACCGTTACTTCCCGGGCTCCTACCTTCAGATCCCCACTTCGAACTGGAACTCAGCCCCAATGCCTTCTTCATCTTCGATGCCGGTGTCGAAGTCAATGACCTCTGCAATGATGGCGACAAATTATTCGAATTACTACCATTAATCATCGAGGAATTACCATTGTTGCTAGTATTACTATTATTATTGCTCTGGTTGCTGGAAGTGTATGTGAGGGGTTTGGAGGAGGATGAGCGAGTGGATGCAAGGAAGATCTCATAAGCCGAAGCACAGAGGTCTATGTCGGAGAGAGAGACACTTTCGAAGGGCGAGGGAAGTGCGGTTGAGAAGGAATTTGTGGTTGCCGTGATGCTGAAGGTGGTGGAGGATGGCGACATATTGATAGCGGTGCAGATACTTGCAGTGGAAGAGAAGGAGAAGGTGGGGGTGGGGTGGATGGAGAAAAAGAATGTGGAATGAGTTTTAAATTTTAATTATTTGATTTGGTTATTTTATTATAAAAAATGTAAAATTACCATTTTAACATTTTAAAATCAGTCAGAATTATTGTCAAAATCAATTATTTGGTCAACTAATAGTCAAACTAATAAAAACTATCTATTTGGACTTCAACTGCGATATTTTGAAAGGTTTGGTATTGTGTACGACACAAATGAAAGGTTTGGACAAAGTCTGTTACTTAATGAAATATTTGATACCTCTATTACAATTATCCCTATAAAAAATCTCGAAACGAAAATGGAGTAATTAATAAAGATGATCTCATTTAGGAGGTTATACTTTTGGAAAGTATATAAACATAATAAAATGTAAAACCCAAAAAGAGGTTCAGTACCTAATATGTAGAAAATTGAGATATCTCAATAAGCTATGTTGTTATGTAAAAGAAATAGAATCGAAAATAAAAAATTTTCGATAACACTTTTGCACATGATGTAAAGAATCAAACAGCGAAAAATCGAATGTGTCGAAATATATCAATCAAAGTGACATTGGCCAAATAAAATAGGCGCAATCCTAAAATTGAATTTACTAGAGAAACCTGAAGTTTTGGACCTGTAGTTTGAAAATTTAAAGTTTATATTTATGTGAAAAGGAAATGAGAAAAATGAAATCGTAATACATAATGCACGACTCTCAACATAGTGAATTTTGCAAAGATCGTGGTTGATAAAATCACAAGTCCATATTATGTTATATTGAAGATGCATGAAATTTGAAATACGTTAGAGTTAATTCATGTAGCATGACTATTAATGTTATTCCTAAATGATTTAATATGCCTTAAGCATAACTTAGGTAATATTATCTCGAGGGGGAGTAAATACACATTATATTCTTTTTCCATTAATCAAAGTTTTGTCCCATTGAGTTTTCCTGACAAGGTTTATAATGAGAAAACTTTGTAGCGTATTTAAAAGAATAATGTAGTCTTTTTCATTCATTAGAATTTTTCCCACGGGCTTTTTCCCAATAAGGTTTTATTGAGGTATATTATTTATGTAATGAATGTTTACAATATATAAGACATTTTCCTCTAAAATAATGTTGTTATACATGAAAGACTCTCAAAGAGATCAATAAGAGCTATCTTTCGAATCATTATGTTACTACGGTCATCAAATGTTGATAAATATCTAGTATGAAGATGATGTTATTTGAAAACTATATATGACAACATGAGACATACTTCACATGAAATTGCAATATTGAAAATATTGATATACAAGACATGGATCGCTTGATATAAGAATTGAAATCAGTGGGAGTAGTTGTCCTTTGATCAAGTCCCGCTAAATTTTCTTAACAAGATTTTAACAAGGCATCGTTTTATTACTCCAAATAATTTGTACTCTTTTTTTTTTTTGGCATTTTTGTTCCATCGAGTTTTTGCCAAATAATATTTCAATGAGATAGTTATTGTGTAAATAGTCATTCAAGGAGAAGTACTGTGAATACAATAGTATTTATGAATTACTTTTATATCTCTGCAGCCCTAGGCATTATGACTGTTGTATCCCTTGTAACCCTAATTCTTCCCTATAAATATGGGGATTTGATTCTTAATAAACACATAAGTTTATTGACTTTTCTCTTTTGTTCTCATTTTCTCTGCATTTTATAGCACCTATAATTTTATAACAATTATGAAATTATGAAAACCATCCACCTTTATTGAGGTTGGGCTCATCTATGTGATATGTAGGTGGAACGAAAATTATAGAGCAATTAGTATTTAGTATAAAATTTTCTTTACAAAAAATAAAATTACAATTTTTATAATGAAATATGCTTACAATATTTTGTAATACACATTAGAAACGATGTCGGAAGGTCACCTTCATCTCTTTGAAGCCAATGGGGCACAAAAATGTGTACTTCTACCTTGAGTTGCAATATTCTCTAAGCAGCATGATGAATATCAGTCTAAAATATCATATATAGTTTCCCATTATAGACCTTTTGAGAATGTGGATAAAGTCATAGATGTTGTGAACAAATCCCAGGCTACAATGGACAATATTGGCACTGATACCATTTTGCATTCCATCAATAAATTGAAGAAGTCGGTGTCTAATAATGTTTGATTTTAGAAATTTGATTTGTCCCATATATATCCGAATCAAGATAGCCAAAACAACTTTACTATGAAATCGATTACAAATAGTAGGTATAGTATATAGTTTTCATTACGATCAAAGTTGTAAAACAATTACAATTTCGTTCAAAATCTATGTGAAAAAAATTTAAATTTGATTCCATAAACATTGCTTTGGAGAATATGACATTAGGTTCATATGAAGCAATACGTTGAACAGTATGTAGTTTCTTTATATGAATCAATTTATCATTATTGATAAGTGCATTTTACACTCTTATTTAGACCACAAAACACGGATAATTGCTGGCAAATATATTGGAATATGACTTAATTCTATATAAATTATGCTTTGTAGGATAACATTGATGGGTATGGTGGAATTTAGGAGAAACAAATGAAAAAATGACTAAAATGGAAGAAAATCGAAATTCAAGAATCAAAGTGCAAATAACCGAAAGATGACCCAAAAGAGAAATAAAGATGTAAAAGAGTCGAAAACCAATTTAGTGAAGACATGAAGTACTGGAAGATGAAGAAGTGAGAAAAGAGATCAAGAAATGAGAAAATGTAGTTTGGGGACCAATACTCAGAGAATGAAATTCTACCTGAAGTATGCTATAACATCGTTCTTTTATCTATGCGGTCATATTGTATGATGCAGGGTCTTCCAGAACTAAAATTGGTTGAACTATGCTATAGCATGAAATAGAATAGAGGAAAAATTCTAGATTCCTTATATGATTCCAACTCTTATGGAAACAAATCTTGGAACGTCTTTTAAAGATCTAAGGCAATCCAGAAGTGATTATCATTCAATACAACATTTTCTAAGAGATTTTGGGAGAATGGAAGGAAGCAAGAAACACAAAGATTGATTCCAAGACTCGAAAATTGAATTTAAGATTTATTTTTGGATGATATCGATTCTTCAATATTTCTTTTGTTTTATTTTTTCATAACATGTTAGACTAGTTTTCTTTGTGTTAGGAAAATGATGAACCATGTAATATGAATTTTTAATCTTTAGTTTAACATATTTGATATTGAAAACACGTTTTTGGGTTTTGAATGGTTTATATGATTATCTTTCTCTACGATTATTGTGTACGGCAGTCGTACAAATTTGGTGGCCTATTTTATGCATTCGAAATAAGGAAAATATATTTGACATTGTGTAAATCGTCATATGGTCTGATAGGGGATATAAATATACATTTATGCTCTATGTGAATTTTTAAGTATTCATAAAAATTCATTCACTCTGTTATGTTCGCATCTGTCATAGAAATATAGTCGGGTCATATATAAGAGTAAGTTTAACATTACTCGAGAGAGATTGTTGAATAAAATAGAAACATTGATTCGTATCGTGTTGTCAGTATAGAACTAAGGTTAAAAATGATTATTGCATAGGAATTCAGGATCCTAGTGCGTTTGTTATTTATTAAACACGTCAATTTACATTTAGCATAATTTGCATTTAGTTAACTTAATTTACTCATAATTGCATAGCAGATTAATTTAGTCATAATTTTGTACCAAACAAACACATCATATTGTTTTTGTTTCAGTTAAGGTCCCGATAATGAAAATTGAACTAAATCAATATATGTGGGACGATACTTAGACTAAAATTCACTTTATTACTTGTTAGGGAACCTACACTTGCTGTAGTTTTAATTGGAAAAATATTTTCATGAACAAATATCAAAATAATATGTTACTAAATATATGTATCGATTACTGCCAACAAAACACAGAATCAAAGGTCAAATAAATACTATATCTGCAGTTTATGAAGAATAAATTTTTTTTTTCATCTTACCAAACGACGTAAATTGGTTTTTCCGTAAGATCTTTAAAGTTTGACAAGAAACTGAATAATTTTGTTTGTTTGAAGAAGAAGATGGTGAGCTAGCCATTACGTAAAAATCTGAGATATAAGAATGTAACAAAAAATATAGAAGTAAAGATTAGATAGTGAAAGCTCTTTTTTAAAGTGGTATAATATTACTAGTACCAAACAAATTATGATATATGAAAAAAAAAAAATTCATTCAATCAAACACCTAGAGAGAATGATAAGAATAGATGATGTATCAAAATAAAAGATCTAGAGAATGTATGATGAGAGTAAAAGCTGTGCGAAAAAAAAGTAGATATTGACACTGCGTTTTTTAGGCAAAATCTCAATTTAAAAAAATCTACAATGTAATGGGAATATTCAAATTTAATTTTCAAGTAGCCGTTCAACAGCAAAAATGCAGCAATGACAAAAATTCATGCAGCAATTTTCATTGTCGCATTTTTTCATGACTAGGGGACTCAAGTTTGCGAGCCAAATCGCACCAGTCGAGAATTTCTCCACTCGGGTTCATACGGCGAGTGGCTCATCCACTTAACACCCCTATAGCAAGCACTTTTTGACTAAGCACAGTAAGCACTTCTTGATTGAACATCACGAAAGGTCATTGGAAGAAATCCTTAATTAATATTTTCGAAACCATCCTACAGAAATTTTCGAAGTCACAAGATTAGCCGAGCAAAATTTATATATATATATATTCTCCCTAAAGCATTCACTAACCGTATGTAATCGCTAGTCATTGGAAATTGTCTCCCTAAATTCCTTTTCTTCCAAACTTTGTGAAGCCTTTTCATTGGATTATATATCCTAGCAGCTGGTATTCTGTTCAAGTTTCTACATAATACTACACTTGATTAGTTTGAAACTTGTGTAGAAATCGATGTGTAAGAGATAATGAAGTGAAATAA